AGATTTCTTTCCAAACAGTGGGGGTGAGGTTCTAAGCCTCACCTCTGTTGATCCCCAATTTCTCACCTGATGGCCCCCCTGCGACTGTGCCTGTCTTAGGTTGTTCCTCCCTTGAGGAATCTTACCCGTCTCTGGCTAACCAGTCATCTTCCTGGGCCATACAGGGAAATGTAAAGTTGGTAGGTGAGAGAGAAGCAATATTGTTTGAAAAGGTTAACTTTTTATGAAGTTAGATATTTTTATTGTAACAGTTTTTCTGGCTAAAAAATTTACATAAAATAATGTTTAAAAGATGTAATAAGAGAAAAAGATATTAAAAACTATCAAGAAATCTTTTTAAAAACTACATGGAAACATCATTTCTCATGTAACAAATTGGCAAAAGTCTAAAAATGTGGCCACTGTCACATACTGTTAGTAGGATTGCACAGTGGTACAACCCCTATAAAAGGAATATGGCAGTAACTACCCAAATTACAGATGCAGTTTTCCTTTCATCCATTAACCCCATTTGGGAGAATTTATCATACAGATACAGCTTACTCATTTAGATAGAAATGATTGGAAGCCCTCTAAGTGTTCATCACTAGGGGACTGATGAAATAGACTATGGTACAGGCACATTAACAGAGCACTGTGCAGCTCTAAAAAGAGATCGAGAAAGGAGACTATGTACTGATTCGGAAAGAAATTCAAGAAATACAGCTAAAATTTTAACAGCAATGTGCAGAATAGTCCATAGAGAGTGTTAGCTTTTGTATAAGAAATGTGGGTTGTTATGGATTGAATGCTATCCCTCTAAAATATATGTTGAAGTCCTAATCCCTAGCACCTGGGAATATGATTTGGACATAGGGTCTTTGCAGATATAATGCAGTTATGATGAAGTTATTGGGGTGGGCCCTAATTCAGTATGAATGGGGTTCTTTAAGAAGAACATGTGAAGACAGAGACTTGCAGGGAGAATGACATGTGCTGACAGAGGCCGAGATTGGCGTGAGGCAGATGCAAGCCAAGGAATGTCAAGGACTGACAGCCCCATAAGCTAGAACAGACAAGGAAGAGGTGTACCCATAGTCTCAGAGGGGGCATGGCCCCTGTGACATGTTGATTTTGGACTTCTAGCCTCCCCAACTTTAAGAGTAACATTCTGTGTAAGCCTTCCAGTTTGTGGTACTTTGTTACATAGCCCTAGGAAACTAACGTGAGGGTAAGAAATAAGATATAGTTTGTTGTTTGCATTTTCCTTGAAGAAATCTGGAAAGAATGAAATGAAAATCGAAAGTGGCTAACTACTGTAGGTGTGGGGACACGACATAGATGAAAACAGAAAGGAGTGGGGTGTCTCAGAGTACTCCTTTTTATAGCAGCTTCATATAAAAATAATAATTGTTAATCAACATCATAATAAAAACTAATCAGGTTGGAGAGGTGTTAACCACTATTCAGTGTCAAAAATTAAGCAGTCCTGGCAATTGCTAGTCTTCATGGTAATTTCCAGTCTCACCATGTAAAGTTTTATCTTCTTCCTCCCACCTGAGACCACATTCCCAAAACAGAAAGCAAGATTCTAAAGCACATTTTGAAAAGTTTACCTGTTCCACTACTTGCCAACAGTCAAGATTTTCTCTTATTTTCTTTTTCATTTTTTCCATACATGTTGTATTCAACCCTACATTCAAGTCTCTGCTCACAGTTTTATGTCTCAGATTCTCTTCCTCTGCCTTTTCAGCAACTACAGATATAACTCCTCCACAAGTTTGGCTCAGATATCACCTCCCACATAAAATATCTTTCACCATCAGTTCTCAATGATTGTTATTTTATCTAACGTCACTTTGTAAAAATTTTAACCTCTGTGAGAATCCAGCTATCTTCTGTTTAACCAGACCTTAAAGAGATTCACAAAAAATGTTAAACAATGGTACTTGTCTCACTAAATTTTTTTTGAAATAGTTTTTTCATAAAATCACTTACATTAGCATGTTATTATTGTCATGTAAAAAGGAATAAGTAAATAACTTAAAACATCTCTCAGTTTTATTTTCTAATATGATAATTATAGATTTAACTCCTATAGACAAAACCTCTTTTGGGCCTCAAAACTTTTAAGACTGTAAAGGGGTCCTGAGAACAAGAAGTTTGAGAACCACTGGCTTATTCTTTAGTAATCTAGAGGTAAATAAGTAGGAAACTGCGAAAAGTGTTGGAAGAGTGGTCTGTTTCATATTACTTAACCGTTTAAGCAATGTACCTGTGTTGATTTTGTAAAGCAAATATAAATAACAATTTCAATCCAAATAAACAAGTGTCTTCCTTTATATAAATGTTATAAGGTTATCTCATTTATTTAGATAATGTTTCTCTTTTAACAAAGTGAAAGTGGAAACATCTACAAGCAACTGGACAGCCAGAAGGTAGTAAGTGGAATGACCGAAATGCCCAAACTCTCTATCAGTAACTTTTTGTTTGTGTTTGTCCTCACTCAGATGGTCAGGATGGCTTCAGCCAGCCCCCAGGAACATCAGGCACTCTGACTTTAACACCATGACCCACTCAGAAATAATGTACCGGTCAGGCTGCCTTCTGAAAAAGTATTAGCATTTACCCAACTACCCTGAAGGCTTTTGTGGGTAAGCAGTACTCTCACCAAATATCTATCCATGTTAGGGAATGCTTTCATAGAAATGCCCTGCCTAGCCACATGATTTTAGAACACCAAATCCTCATGACACTTACAGAACAGCAGTGGGTGCCAAATGTGATTCATGGCTCAGCAGAAATGAGTCAGTGTTCTGGGGAAATGAGGCAGGTCCAAACGGTAAAGAAGGAACCACCTTTATTGTAGTAAAGATAGCTTACCAGATCTGCTAAATTGGCTAGCTACCAAGCCTAGGAATGAAGACACTGAAGAGACACATCTTTCAGATTTAACTGGACTTAATGGATTTCATGTCATCATTCTGCTGTTGGGTTACTATTTATCTAAAGTATGGCTTGGATAAATATTATGACTCATTGTTATAGCACATTAACAACTTCTAAGTTTAATTTGTGTTATTCTGACTCACCAGTAATAATGCTCATTCAAAGAATGATTACTCAGAACCTTCCTTTAATCCTGTCCCCAGCCCTTCCAATGTCCCTGTCCTACCTTCTATTGTTGCCTCTTCTAATATCCTGTTTGCTTCCTTCACAGAACCTATATGTCGCCTATAATTGTGTGTTTATTTAGGTTTATTTGTTTAATATTTCTCTCCCTTTCTGGACAGTAAACGCTGCAGGGCAGAGATGATCATGTGTGATTTGTTCACCACTTGTTAAGCTGGTCCCTAGCACACTGTAAGACACATCGTAGCTGCTCCAAAAAGTGAATTAAAACTAAGGGTATTATAGCCTCAAATCTGTTTTGTTTTCATTTTTCAAGAAGGCTTGGGGGGCTAGAAAAGAACATTCCTGGATTGTCTTTAACCAGCTTCTTCTAACAGTGCCTCTTAAGTGAAGAGTGTAGGCCTGAGACAGCCAATAAGTAGTATATTTACTCACTTACATCTTCAGCTCTCTCCGTGCATCAGAGTGACTTTTCATATATATACTCCAGTTGCACTCTGTTTATATATGAAGAATCACTAGATGTTTTATACATATATATGTGCATATATATTTTAAATATATATAGTCTCTGTTTATTTATGAAGATGTCACTAGTTCTGTTAGATGTTTTCCAACAGAACTTAGTTATGTTCTTAGAAGGTTCTGAGCATATTGTGACATAATTTGATATTTTTTTTGTTTGACTGGAACTTTAATTTTTCATGTCTAATGGCTATATTCTACCCATGGGAGTGTGGGTGGGTGCAAGTGGGGAGCATATGTCTGTGCTTTAAATTTTATTAAAATTTATTGCATTCTTCTAGGTGAAAACTTCTTGGTAACTTAAGAAAAACATAAATAAGCAATTGGCTAATAGCAAGACATCAAGACAACCCCTTACCACATGCCAATTTTAGATATAATAAGTGTGGAATAAATATGAAGATAAAACAATCCCTAAAATAATCTGTGAAAGGACCAAATTACTTTGGGCAGGGCTGACTGAAACTTTTTATTGTCTCCTTCTAGAATTCTTACCATTTCATTCTCTCATAATACTTATTACTAAATTACTATACAATTTACTTATTTATTAAATTTACTGTTTATCACCTATTTCCTTCACCTCATCT